AGAATAGAAACAGAGAAAGAGTAGATGGGTGGGGGTTGGGGACAAGAACAGAACTGCTAGGGGGGTAGAAACTGAAGTAAAGATGAGGAAAGAGAGAGAGAGAGAAACAGAGAGAGGGGGAAGGAGAGAATAGGAGATGAAGGACTGGGGGGGGAGAAAGAGAGAGAGAGAGAGAGAGAGAGAGAGAGAGAGAGAGAGAGAGAGAGAGAGAAGGGAGGAAGGGAGGGAGAGAGAGAGAGACAGAGAGAGAGAGAAGAAGATATAGAATATCTCCAGTATAAAATGCACTTGAAATAAAAATTTTACTTTCAAACCTAAGGGGGTTAATAATTAATTTGCTAACTTCAGGCATAATGTCATCCATTATTGACTTAATTACATATTTCAAATACCTTTATATTGATTTTCATTTTAATTAGACATTAGAAGAAAACCCTGGACCAGTTTTTAAAAGCTGAACGGTAGGACTTGGGGTTAAATTGCATGCCTTAGATGTGCTAGACCTGTAACACACTCCTGCTCTCTTTTGCAGCTACCGGCTAGCTCCTCAGCATCACTTCCCTGCACAGTTTGAAGATGGCATCACGGCAGTCAAGTATTTTCTTCAGGACAAAATTCTTAGAAAATATGGAGTAGATCCTACACGAGTTGCTATTTCAGGAGACAGTTCTGGGGGCACTCTGGCAGCAGCAGTGACTCAGCAGGTAGGCATTTCTGGCTCTACTGCAGCTGGGAATGGTTGCAGCTCCTTGTTCCTCTGCTAGACCTGTTCTTCTGGTATCATGCCTTGAAAAGGAGCATTCTTTCCCACAGAATTACAATGGTGCTTGAGAGAAGCATCAACTCATCATAACAGCACTAACTTGGGCTTTATATTTGCTGTTATATTGATCTACAGACCTATCTGCATGTTGAGAATACTTTGATTTCAACCATCCTTTTCTTTTGTAAAGGGTGGTTCTAGAACTGCTTTTCTCAGGCACCGAAATGTTATAGATAATCTCGTTCCTTCTTAACAAAGAAAAACATAGTAGTATTTTAATTAGGCTTCTACTGGATCTGTGGGCGCTGGATGGTTCCTGTCAGGCATTTTGTTACAGAAACAACAGAAGTAACTAACATATAAAATCGGCACTGGGAACTGAAGCCACTCCCTGACCACATAGTTTCAGCTGCTGTGTGGAAGGAGTGTGGCCTAGAGAAGTTGTAGTGTGATGGAAGCAGTGACTGACAGCCAATGGTAGAGTTTAGAAGACAGAAGCTCTAACCAAAGTGAGGACAAAGAAAACTGTATTCATCAGACTTCAACGGGGAACACATACTCTGTTGGGAACCAGATTAAAAGCAATTTGTGCTAGTTTCTCTCAAAGTACCTGGCTGCCTTCTGCCTTTGTATTGAGATTTTGAGTGATGCTGAATTAAAAAGTAATGGGTTAATTTGTTTGCAAAAGGCATCTTTAAGACAGCATAGCACTTAGACTGTGTCATAATTATTTCTTACTTCATTCATCAGACTTACAGTAGAAGCAAGCATAAAGCAAGGCAGAAGTGTGAAAAATACACAAGCTGATGAGTAAAGAAGCTTTAACTTAGTTAAATTGAGGGCAAGGAGAGTTCAGACAAAGTAACTATGGTTATTAAAGAGATTAGTGTCATTGCGGAGAAAATTTGAACTTTCCTAGTGCAATAGAAAAGATGATTTGAGAGAAAAACACACTGATCAAGAGTTTTAAGCTCACCATACAACTTTATTTGAAAAGAAAATGCCAGAGGAAAAATTTTCCCAGTTAAACTATGAAGGCACACAAAGGCCACCACCACCACGGTACAAAGGGACCAGGATACAATGTTTACAGGCAGTAGAATATGACTGTCTGTATGTGTTCCTAGTTTTACAGGCGTGAAGGATACAGCAATGAGGGGCTATTAAACTTTGTACCAAGGTTCCTGAATGTGATGGTTGATTTTATTTCTTCTTGCTCTGGCAAAAGTTTTTATGACATTTAAGAGCCTTCTGGTAGAGCATTTTTTTTGATGTGAGATTTCCCTCTGTATGCTGTGATCACCATTCATGAATAAAAAACTGCTTTGGACCTATAGCAGGGCAGAACTTAGCTAGGCATGGAAAACTAAACAATTTCTGGGAGAAAGAAGTCAGAATCAGAGAGAAGCCACGGAGCTGCTACCAGAGACAAACACGCTGAAACTTTGCTGGTAGGCCACGACCTCGTGGTGATCTATAGATTATTGGAGATGGATTAAATTAAGATGTAAGAGTTAGCCTATAAGAAGCTAGAGCTAGAGTACTTCCCACTTTCTCTTCAATCAGGTTCAGTGTGTTTGGACTGATATTGAGGTCTTTCACCCACTTGGACTTGAGTTTTGTGCATGGTGATAGATATGGGTCTATTTTCATTCTTCTACAGATTGACATCCAGTTTTGCCAGCACAATTTGTTGAAGATGCTCTCTTTTTTCCATTGTATACTTTTAGCTCCTTTATCGAAAATCAGGTGTTCATATGTTTGTGGGTTAAAGTCAGGGTCTTCTATTCGATTCCATTGGTCGACTTCTCTGTTTTTATGCCAATACCAAGCTGTTTTCAATACTGTAGCTCTGTAATAGAGTTTGAAGTCAGGGATGGTAATGCCTCCAGACGTTCCTTTATTGTATAAGATTGTTTTGGCTATCCTGGGTTTTTTGTTTTTCCATATAAAGTTGATTATTGTCTTCTCCAGATCTGTGAAGAATTTTGATGGGATTTTGATGGGGATTGCATTGAATCTATAGATTGCTTTTGGTAGAATTGCCATTTTTACTATGTTGATCCTCCCAATCCAAGAGCAAGGGAG